GGTATCATACAAGTGTCACATCGAAGGCTAGCCGTTATTCGAAGCCGCTCGACCGAACCCTAAGCGTGACATCCGAGGCGCAATTTGGGCAAAGGATCATGGGATGGCCATTACGTTCGTAATGTCAGGAAATGACTTCCGCCAGACCCTCGCCGTCATTCCCAGAGGCACAAAAAGAAGCGTGGTCAATGATTGAACTGAAAAGCATAAAAAGAGCACAAGAGAGTCGTGCATATAATACTCGAGAGCAGCGTGCGGCAAGCTGGTGCTTCTCACCACATCGGATCTGTCACCTTCTACAAGGACGAAGGCTCAACGGCCAAGGACATTTTATTGGCAGCAGCATCTACTGAGTCGGTCTTAGGTGGATGGCACGATTCCGGGCATGGACGATGAAGAGGCACGATACCGGTCTATCCATACTCAGTCAACGTGTGTTGCTCAGTCTGCACGACCTGAGGAGGCCGGTATGTTCGGAACATCTCGGCCGACGCATTATACTATACACGACACACAGATGGTTGTGGGCCGAGAGAGCCATTGCTGCGCAAACCAAAGACACGATTAAGCGTAAAACGCTGTCAATGGCAATAGCCCCAGCACCCACTGTCTCAAAAAGCCGTACCTGGTGGCCAAATGCAAGTTATAAATCAAGTCCAGTCTCGACAAGGAAATGCCATGGTTCCAAGAACGACGGGAGTTGCAACGTAACACCAATTGAAGGTTTCTCAACTCTATGAGAAAGAGGGAGCCACCATGGGTGTTCCCACATCATCAGCCTCAGACCTCCACAGTCGGAGGCCGCAATTTCTGGCATCTAGAGCGGAAATTTAAGAGAACGCTTCCGAAGCTGGAGTGCAATGGCACAACGGTTGGTCGCAAAGCAAAACAAACGGCTCATGCCTCAGCGTCATCGAGGCCAAAGCATAACATCTTACAGGATGTGCTGGCTGGGAAAGGAAGAAAGAGGTCCTATAATAATTCCTCTCGCATTCGGGCTGCGCCAGCCGAGAACACCTGTACTCGCATACATCGCACGCGTACGGTTTCTCTCCCGTGTGCGTGCGCGCGTGGATCTTGAGATGCGCCAGCCGAGAACACCTGTACTCGCATACATCGCACGCGTACGGTTTCTCTCCCGTGTGCGTGCGCGCGTGGATCTTGAGATGCGCCAGCCGAGAACACCTGTACTCGCATACATCGCACGCGTACGGTTTCTCTCCCGTGTGCGTGCGCGCGTGGATCTTGAGATGCGCCAGCCGAGAACACCTGTACTCGCATACATCGCACGCGTACGGTTTCTCTCCCGTGTGCGTGCGCGCGTGGATCTTGAGATGCGCCAGCCGAGAACACCTGTACTCGCATACATCGCACGCATACGGTTTCTCTCCCGTGTGCGTGCGCGCGTGCCTCTTCAGCCTGTAGCGGGAGCATGTCCTGTACTCGCACGTGTCACACGCGTACGGTTTCTGGCCCGGGTGCGTGCGAAAGTGCTTCTTGAGGCTGCAGGAGGTGGTGCAAGTGTAACCGCATATGTCGCATATGTCGCACGTGTAAGGTTTCTCTCCCGTGTGCGTGCGCGTGTGGCTCTTGAGGCTGCTGGAGGTGGTGCAGGTGTAACCGCATGTATCGCACGCGTACGGTTTCTCTCCCGTGTGCGTGCGCGTGTGGCTCGTGAGGCTGCCGGAGGTGGTGCAGGTGTAACCGCATATGTCGCACGCGTACGGCTTTTCTCCCGTGTGCGTGCGCGCGTGGCTCTTGAGATGCGCCAGCTGAGAACTCCTGTACTCGCATACATCGCACGCATACGGTTTCTCTCCCGTGTGCGTGCGTGCGTGCTCCTTCAACCGTTGACTCTGGGAGCATCGGTACCCGCACGTGTCACACGCATACAGTTTCTCTCCCGTGTGCGTGAGAAAGTGCTTCTTGAGGCTGCGGGAGGTGGCGTAGGTGGTGCCGCATATGTTGCACGCGTACGGTTTCTCTCCCGTGTGCGTGCGCGCGTGCTCCTTCAACCCGTCACTCCGAGAGCATCGGTAACTGCACGTGTCACACGCGTACGGTTTCAGAGAAGAAGAAGCAGAAGGAAGAGAAGGTTCCATCGAGCGGGCGGTGATCGAGATCTCTATTTCTCCCCGATACAGGGTCCTCTCTCACTTTCCTCCCCGATGCAGGTTCCTCTTTCACTTTCCTCCCCGATGCAGGTTCCTCTCTATCTTTCCTCCCCGATGCATTTTCCTCTCTCACCTTCCTCCCCGAAGCAAGTTCCTCTCTTGGTCGTCCGCTTTCCTGCGGACAGAAAATATACACGGATCTACACGAATTAAGCAATTTCTCATTATGCTTGAAAAAATAATTGGAAAAGTGGAAATCCGTGGATCCGCAAAAAATTCTTATGTATGTATATAGGCAATCGTTGTTGCAAAAAAGACATCCGTAAAAACACTGCTACGTAATAACGCTAAACAAACCTGATAATAAAACACGCACAAAATACATACAGACTGGTAGTGATGTCCTGGTGATCGATTACAATCAAAAGTCAGTCGTTTGCAGCAACCAACCAAGCGCTCAATTATGCAAATTAATAATTGATTATCAAAATGAAAGTGTCAATGACACTGTAGCTCACCACAAAAAAAGATACAAATGAGTGAGTGAGAAGAAGTCAGTTTTAATTGAGCAACCATCGACGTACATTATAGAAACGAAGAGTATATATGGGAGAACCAATTATACTCTTGATAATTATATGTGTAATTTTTTATGTGAAAATAATAAATAATAT